TGGGCTCCATCCCAGGCCATCCCTGGTGACATTCCCTGTCCTGGGCCAGGTGGACCTGAACGAGGAGGAGACCATCCTCATCATCCGCCGCCTGCACAAGGTGCTCCGGCCCTTCCTGCTCCGGCGCCTCAAGAAGGAGGTGGAGGCTCAGCTCCCGGAAAAGGTGACAATGGGGGGGTCCTTCCTGCTGGGATACACCCTGGGATACACCCAGGGGGTCCTTCCTGCCCTTCCCCATCCTGGAATATGCACATGGAGTTTCATTCCCCTCTGGAATGATTGTTGGGTTGGGTTGAGGAGGTGTTTGGGTCGATCCCTCTGGGAATTGGGGGTTCTCTGAGCACAGGGATCCCACATTTTGGGGTCCATCCTGCTCTTCCCCATCCCGGGATACACCTGGGGGGGGTCCATGCCCGGAATATCCACACGTGGAGTTTTGGTTCCACTGCAGGATCTCAGCTGGGCAGGGATGATCCCCCCAGGATCCAGGGGGGCTCTGGGGGTCCAGGGGTGACTCTGGGGGTCTGGGGGTGTCTCTGGGGGTGCTGGGGGAGCTCTGGGGATCCAGGGATGGCTCTGGGGGTCCTGGGGTGTCTCTGGGGGTCTGGGGGTGTCTCTGGGGGTCAGGGGTGTCTCTGGGGGTCCAGGGGTGACTCTGGGGCTCCGGGGGTGACTCTGGGGATCCAGGTGTGACTCTGGGGTCCTGGGGTGTCTCTGGGTGTCCTGGGGTGTCTCTGGGGGTCCTGGGGGAGCTCTGGGGATCCAGGGATGGCTCTGGGGGTCCTGGGGGAGCTCTGGGGGTCTGGGGGTGTCTCTGGGTGTCTGTGGGTGTCTCTGGGTGTCCAGGGGTGTCTCTGGGGGTCCGTGGGTGTCTCTGGGGGTCTGGGGGTGTCTCTGGGTGTCCAGGGGTGTCTCTGGGGGTCTGGGGGTGTCTCTGGGGGTCCGTGGGTGTCTCTGGGTGTCCATGGCTGACCCCTGTGGGGTCCTGGCAGGTGGAGTACGTGATCAAGTGTGACATGTCGGCCCTGCAGCGGGTCCTGTACCGGCACATGCAGGCCAAGGGGGTCCTGCTCACCGACGGATCCGAGAAGGACAAGAAGGTCTGGAGTTGGGATTTGGGAATTCCAAGGGAGGGAGGGTGGCCGGGGTGGGTCCGGGCCCCGTTTTGGGCACGTTAATGTGTCGCCATTAATGGCACTGGAGGGGTTGGAGGTGGCACTGGAGGGGTTGGAAGTGGCCCTGGAGGAGTTGGAGGTGGCCCTGGAGCTGTGGGATGGGACTTGGTGTCACCTTTAATGACTCTGGAGGGGTTGGAAGTGGCCCTGGAGGGGTTGGAAATGGCCCTCGATCAGCTGGAAGTGGCCCTGGAGGGGTTGGAAGTGTCCCTGGAGCTGTGGGATGTGCTCCCGGAGCAGTTGGAAGTGTCCCTGGAGGGGTTGGAAGTGGCCCTGGATCAGTTGGAAGTGGCCCTGGAGGGGTTGGAAGTGGCCCTGGAGCTGTGGGATGTGCTCCTGGAGCTGTGGAACGTGGTCCTGGAGGGGTTGGAAGTGTCCCTGGAGCCCCTTTGTAAGCAAAGGAATTGGGGTGGGCTGAGCTTAAAACCCTTTGATTGGCTCTGAGCCTCCAGTGGGGGCTCCCAGGGAATTCCTGGGAATGCTGGGAGGGAGAATCCGCCCCCATCCCAGATTTTAACCCGCCCTGGGCCCTTCCCTGCAGGGCAAAGGCGGCACCAAGACCCTGATGAACACGATCATGCAGCTGAGGAAGATCTGCAACCACCCCTACATGTTCCAGCACATCGAGGTGGGGCCTCCCCGGGACAGGGAGAGACCAGGACGGGGAGAAAAACATCCTGGGATGGAACAAAACAGGGATAAACCAACCTGGGATGGACCAGAACAGGGATAAACCAACCTGGGATGGACCAGACAAGGGATAAACCAACCTGGGATGGACCAGAACAGGGATAAACCAACCTGGATAGGGCAGAACAGGGATAAACCAACCTGGGATAGACCAAAACAGGGATAAACCAATCTGGATGGACCAAAACAGAGATAAAACCAACCTGGATAGGCCAAAACAGGGATAAACCAACCTGGGATGGAACAAAACAGGGATAACCCAACCTGGGATAGACCAAAACAGGGATAGGCCAAAACAGGGATGGACCAAACTGGAACTAAACCCAACCCAACAGGGCTGAACCCGATGGGGATGAGCCAAACCAGGACTAAACCCAATGGGGATGAACCAAACTGGGGCTAAACCCGACCCATTGGGGCTAAACCCAATGGGGATGGACTAAACCAGGACTAAACCCAATGGGGCTGGACCAAAGTGGGGCTAAACCTGATGAGGATGAACCAAACTGGAGTTAAACCCAATAGAGATGAACCAAACTGTGACTAAACCCGACCCAACGGGGCTAAACCTGATGGGGATGGACTAAACCAGGACTAAACCTGATGGGGATGAGCCAAACCAGGACTAAACCTGATGGGGATGAACCAAACCCCCCTTCCATGGCTCTTTTTTCCAGCCAAAGGGATCCATTCCCAAGGGAACTGGGCAGGGAGCAGGGCCTTGGCCCTGGCCAGCCCTGGGCGAGGCTTTAGGACAGTTTTAGGCCCGGTCTGGGCCAATTCCTGACCCCATTTCTCTTCCCCACTCCAGGAATCCTTCTCCGAGCACTTGGGCTTCACGGGTGGGATCGTGCAGGGGTGAGTCGGGAATTCCCACTGGGGAAATCGGGAGGAATTCCCAAACTCCAGGGGCTCTTGGGGGGGGGCGAGGGGTGACCCAGGACCCCCCAAAAATTCCCCGAATCCCATTTTTTTCCCTGATTTTGCCCGTTCCCACCCGCTCCAGGCTGGATCTGTACCGCGCCTCCGGGAAGTTCGAGCTGCTGGACCGGATCCTGCCCAAGCTCCGGGCCACCAACCACAAGGTGCTGCTCTTCTGCCAGATGACCTCCCTCATGACCATCATGGAGGATTATTTCGCCTACAGAGGCTTCAAATACCTCAGGCTGGACGGTGGGTGACCCTCAGGGGGATGGGTGGGGGGTCCCAGGGGTGGGAAAGGGGCCCCTGGGAGGGGGCGGGTGGTGGGAACAGGTCTGGAGATCCCGAGGGATGTGGGGTCAGGGAGAGGGGAGAGGGGGAGGTCAAGGTGTCATAGTGGGTGTTGAGGTGAACATCAAGATAATGAGGTGGAGATCAAGATATCAAAGTGGATATCAAGATATCAAAATAGATATCAAGGTAGATATCAAGATATCAAAGTGGATATCAAGGTATCAAAGTGGGTATCAAGGTAGATATCAAGATATCAAGGTGAATATCAAGATATCGAGGTAGATACCAAGATACCAAAGTGGATGTCAAGATACCAAAGTAGAGATCAAGATATTAAAATAGATATCAAGATATCAAGGTGGATATCAAGGTAGATATCAAGGTGTCAAGGTGGAGATCAAGATATCAAAGTGGATATCAAGGTATCAAAGTGGGTGTCAAGGTGGAGATCAAGATATCAAGGTGGAGATCAAGGTATCAAAGTGGATATCAAGATAACAAGGTGGATATCAAGACATGAAGGTGGATATCAAGATGGATATCAAGATAACAAGGTGGATATCAAGATATCAAGATGGATATCAAGATATCAAGGTAGATATCAAGATATCAAAGTGGAGATCAAGATATCAAGGTGGAGATCAAGATATGAAGGTGGATATCAAGATATCAAGGTGGAGATCAAGATATTAAAGTAAATATCAAGATATCAAGGTGGATATCAAGATATCAAGATGGATATCAAGATATCAAGATGGATATCAAGATAACAAGGTAGATATCAAGATATGAAGGTGGAGATCAAGATGTGAAGGTAGATATCAAGATATCAAAGTGGAGATCAAGATAACAAGGTGGATATCAAGATATCAAAGTGGAGATCAGCATAAATATCAAGGTGTCAAGGTGCAGATCAAGATATCAAGGTGAATATCAAGATACCAAAGTGGGTATCAAGATATGAAGGTAGATAGCAAGATATCAAATTAATCTCCTGATTAATCCCCCAAGTGCCTCCCCTGAGCCCCCCAGGTCAGGGTTTAACTCCCTTGGACCCCAGAGTGCCTCCCTGAGACCCCCAGGTCAGGGTTTAACACCCCCAAACACCCCCTTGGACCCCAAAGATCCTCCCTGAGCCCCACAGGTCGGGGTTTAACCCCTTTGGACCCCAAAGGTCGGGGTTTAACACCCCCCAGACACCCCCTGGGACCCCCAAGTGCCTCCCCTGAGCCCCCAGGTCAGGATTTAACCCCTTTGGACCCCAAAGTGCCTCCCCTGAGCCCCCCAGGTCGGGGTTTAACCCCCTTGGACCCCAAA